GCTTGTGACCAAAATAGTTAATGTAATATTGGGACTTAAAAGAATACAAAATAGATTAGATTTTGGAATTTTTTTTTGGTGCAGTCAATTTTGTAATTCCAATGATGCAAGAAATTTAACTTGGTACGTCATAGCTCTTCAGTAAAATGTTCAATATAGTCTACACTAAATGAATAAGCTCTTTCCATTTTTGATCCTTAATTTTAGAGACTTGATAGGAGACTCCAGAGACAAACTGTAGCAAGCAAGGAAGGACTGACATCATGTCTCTTGTGAATAAAATATGGTTAAATTTACCATCTTTCCTCACCTCCCCCCAAAAAAAGAGTAGTTTAACTACTTGCCTGGGGCAGAATGGGAGACTTTAATTAGCACTTATAGTAGAGAACTGTGCAGTAAGAACAAATAGCTGGAAATGGAGATAAACAAATTAGTAGTAACGTATGCCTAAAAATGTCATTAGACTTATAAACAATTTAGAGACGTGATGTGGTCATCACCAATGATCTTAAGATCAGCAACGGGTGCTTCTCAGATGCTATAGTGTAAAAGAAATATTTTAGGTACTTACTTTGGTCTTTGTAGTTTGACAGAGTAAAGCAAGTCTTTCTCGGTTCTTAGCATGAAGTTAGGCTTCTCTCGTTTCCGTGCTTGTCCATTGTAATGAACTTTTCTCACTTAAAACACAACTGAGGGAATTTCCCAGAAGTAGCTCTTACCTGAGATAGAATGTCAATTCTGGTCTTCAGCAAATGCAAAGTCCTCAATCACAAAGGCGAATTTGGTTTCTCTGTGTTCTTTTGAATAGCTGTATGTGTGAAACATGGGAGAGTCTCAATTTTTCCTTATTGTGTCATGTTTTGCAGGATTAGATAAACTTCATCTGTCAAACAATCCCAGAGACTCGGAGGCAAAGCCGTCTGTGAACGGGCATCAGAAAACACTGTGATTAACAATCACCTGCAATCAACAGAGCTGAAAACATCAACTATTCCTGTCATCTCATCAGCATTTTTATATTGATTTTATTTGTTGATAATTTGGGTCCAACCTTGTCTCGTTTTTTAATGCTGTGTGCTTCTTGAGGGAGTTAGGTATATCAGATTCTTCTCTTTCCAGTGAACTTTTGGTGTGCCTGTTTATTCGCCAGTAAGTTAATGCTTGAAGACTGGAAGCTGAAGAGAATAATGCATTCCTTTTTATTTGTTGACAGTCTCATATCTTTAGATATAAACCTGCTACCATTTGAATGCACAGTACCTCCTGTGTTATACAGACACAGCTATAAAGAATAACTTTGGGACTTGGTTTAAAAAAAACGAAAAAGAAAAAAAGATACACTTGAAGCCCTCTATGACCCTTACTGGAAACATAAACTACCTGCAGTAGGTATCCTTGACAGTAGATAGAGTTCCACTACAACCGTGTTAAAAATGACAGTAACTGGTAGAGGTCAGAGTTTCTTTCGTGCTGGATGCAGTAGGCTGTTCGTAGCCTGATGTCACGAAGCTTTCTCGGAAGGCCAGCGTTTTCAGCTTTCTGTTCGTAGCTATAAATGCCAGGTTGCTTTACTGGTCTTATCAAACAGACAATGTCTTATCGAATAGAGTGAAGTACAAGATGAAGATTAACTTCAGGGTTAAATCTGAGCCTAGTATGCTTTGTAAAAAGCTGTGTAGACCCTCTGTCACAGTTCTTACAGTTCTGTAAGCTATTGTGCCATGGAGGTCACTTACCCTACCAACTATATCCCTCTCAAATTCTTTATGAACTACTGTGTATAAGCAGTACTTGTAATCAATGCAAGTAGCACAGGCCTAGGAGGCTGCAATTGCAATTTTTTTACAATCTTCTTTAATTTTAAGTAAATTATTTCTCTAAATTTATACTATAGTTACTAGGATTTCTGTTCAGTGGCATAATCCAGGATCTTTCACTAGCCTATTTTTTAATGTACACGTGAACATGTATATAGGCCTATATGTATAGATATCGTAAATTAAATTCTAAGCTTATAGAGATGACATAGGTGGCTTGGTAAGTAAAACTTGTGTGTTCAGCCTCAGTAGTATGAATTTCTGCGGTGTTACTGTTTGACTGCTCAGAGGCCTTAGATTCAGGATGTCATCGGTGGGTGGTAACGTCCTTTTTCTTAGCATTACTGCAGCCTTAGGAATCCTTTAAGCAGTTTATAGTAAAGAAAAAACCCACCAACCAAAACCCAAGTAAGTGTTCAAAATCTGGTTGCACTTTTTTTGTCCTGCTCTGCCACAAATAATCTTCAAACAGATCAAATGGAGACACCTTCAGTGTGCGCCTGTTATGCAGCGAGTCAGAGAACGTTCCTCTTTGGTTCCTGTTTCTCTAAAACAAGTATGTCTGTCTGTAGTTTGAGGTCTTACACGTCATCGAGCGGTGACAACTAGCTCTCCAGTGTGGTTCTGAAAGAAGATGAACCTTGTCAGGAACTCTTTGGGTGTTCTCCCAAGATGACTGCTCTGGGCTGTAGACCTTAGTGCTGTCTGTGTGAATGTGAGCTTTTTCCCCCCCTCGGAGTGCTTCAGAAATCAAGCTCCAGCATACATAAGGATTTCTCAGTTGTTGGGTTGTGTATGATGTTTTTTTTTTTTTTGCAGCTGCCTTTTCTGACTTGAACTGCGGCATAATGTAAATACTGCTGTAGTAAATATGATGCTAGAGAGTTACTTTTTTTTGGTGATAAGTATAAATTCAAGGCTTATTAAACTGACTATTGATGTGTTGTACTGAGTCTTGGAAGACTTAAAGTAAAACTGCTTGATTTCAGTAAGATTTACAAGCATCTTTTCTGTTGTTTGAGTTTAATGCTGACATTTTAGTGAGAAATCTTTATCTGAGTCAAGTTCTGCAACCAAGAAAAGGGAGCTGTAATTAAAAGTTGTTTTAAAATACGTTTACATTTAAAATATTGGAAGATTTATTATTAAGGGTGTCATTCAGGTATTCTCAGAACTTGTAGCCTTATGTATTAGCATTATAGGTAAAAATAACTGAAATGTATCCACTTGTCCATGCAAGTGATTGTGTGACCAAAATTGTCCTCATATCTTAATGGGGCTGGTGAGTTGTGGTGTGTGAGGCTAGTTAGCTTTAGTAAAATACTTGTATTAAAACTTTAAGATAGTTATTTAAATGCACTCTGTGAAACTGAAGAAATGAATTTAAGGACTAAATCTAGGGAGTGTGAACCAGCATAGGTCTTGCTCTTCGTGCTTTTCTCAGTACTTAGACTGAGACGTTTTGGAGAGATGTTTGTCCTGGCATCGGTGACCCAAGAACATCGAAAAAGATGGGATGAGGATGTGTATGTGGTTTCTGAAAGTGAGTTGA